TTTTAGCATTCGTTTAGGATTTTCAAACAACCTGGTCTCTTTTAAAATACTTTAATTTGTTCTTACGTGGTTTTCCAGATGTAGTGACGACAACAGTAAAGTTTAAAGAAGAAAATTCTAACATTTAAACCGACTAAACAATAACATAGTAAACTTGCATAATTAAACAGCAACTAAAAATGATAGGTTTTACTAAATCTTTTCCTGTGCAATTATTACTAGCATTGGAGACAAGGATAACAGTTTGTTTGAAAGAGAAAAGAACAGGCTTTGACGTAAGCCTAAAAGCGTTTATTAACTAGAAATAGTATTTCGAAAGTTATTAAGCACAAAAGATGAATTGCGTTTATTTTGATACACCCTGTATATACACGATTTCCATCATAGCGCGCGTGTAAGGAGGAAAAAAGCTTTCAATATCTTATATGTTTTTTATATGTGTTGAGGATTTTCACAAACTGATACAAACTCAGTTTTAAATCCAGTCCCCCCACCCCGACAATCTGATGTCCGCGTGTTAACCTTGCTTAAACTCCCGATTGTTGTACCAAATCATATGTTGTCATGAAAAAAATTTTTGTATACCGCATGAAAACTAGCTTGGTCCGTGCGCGGACCATTGAAATTAGAATTAAAAATAATCCGCGCGCGAAAAACTTGGCTGCTGTATAACACGCCGCATGTCAATGTTTGCCGCTGTGGCAGATGACAAATGAAAACGTGCAATTCATGTTCTACATATATAGTTGGCTGAAAGAAGACGTTTCAAATATGGCAATAGTTGACGTTAAGCTCGTGTCTGGATTTTCGGTGAACGAAGAATCGCTGCAGAAGGTAAGCCATTTATTAGCTAATCAAGGTAAATTTACAAAGATTTACGTATATGATAGATGATCAGCTTTCAATCCACAACCATCAGAAAAACTAAGCCGATGCTAAAGTTACTGTACGTAAATCAGGACGAAATCAGTGTTATCCGATGTACAAATATTGATTGAACATTCGTTTCATTTAAATTTTCTTTATGAATGGATCATTCCCCATGCAATTAACCAAAATTTTGATCTCAACCAGTCTAGACAAAATTCCATCATAGCATGAAAGAGCATCGCAAAATGAGTAATATTCCAAAGTTTCGTTGCAAAATGTTGTAAAATGCGGATAATATAGCCTTGCGAAATTTGTAATTTTCAGTCATTTTGTATTACGCACAGAAGTGGTAACCATTTCCCGTTTGTAATCTAAGATGACTGAAAATTGCAAACTTCGCAAGGCTATATTATCCGCATTTTACAACATTTCGCAAAGAAACTCAAAGAAACTTTGGAATATTACTAATTTTGTGATACTCTTCCAAGCTGTGATGAAATTTTTGTCTAGACTTTTTGAGTTCAAAATTTGGGTTAATTGGGGAATGGTCCATTATTATTAATGAGTAGCTATTGTATAATGCGCTAATAATAATTAATAGGAATTAATGAATACAGGAATTAATACATGCAGGAATTAATACAGTAATTGAAAGGGATCACTTACGTCGAATACAACGCATTTTTCTAGAAATTGGAACAGACGAATAATTACAGTCCAACGATCTTAAAACGTTATGAAATTGAAGGACAAAATGTTATTCTCTACTTTGACGAGGTAACCGTAATATACTTATAGCTAATAGTAACTGATCAAATGAGATGGAAATAATCCATTGAAGAACAAGGATTTAAACTATGAATTTATTCATAACTAGAGGGCACAGGTATGCAGCGAGTATGGGAAGTAAGGTATCATATTGCTGATTACGCTGAAAAATAAAGAGTGATAGCTTATACGTGTAAATATTGAAATATTTCGGTTGTTTCGGCAATTTTTATTGAAATTTTTCAGCATAATCAGCAATATGATACCTTTCTTCCCATCGTTCCCTGCGTGCATAAATTAAAAGCTGGAATTGCCTATAGGCGACCGGCCTGATGTCCATGGATGACTATATGTCAAGCAGAAAAATTTTTCAAAAAAACCATTTTTCCGACCTACTTACTCTATTTGTTTCGGCCCCGGATATGCATGAAATTTGAACTACGTACAGCATACTCTTTGATACGTCCATAACTTGATCGAATTAAAAACCTTCTGTAACTTGTATTGTTTAATAATCCTTCCAGATAAAATCGATGAGTTTCTCACTGGATATTGTTCAAAGTACACTGGTAAAGAAAACAAAGCCAGGTGTTATTCGTGTTTATGATTACTATAATCCAGGTATGGATGCATGCTTTCGATTCGCTATGCAATTTATGTGCCCATCAAATTAAACTGTATTTTTTGCATAAGGGGTGGACCTAGTCTAGTCCCAGGCCTTTCCACGTGGCTGGTTCTGTTTCGTTTCTGAGCCTCTGGAGAAGGCCAAGCAAAATTCGTTAATTATGAATTTCATAAAGTAAACTTACTGGAACTTTCAGCGCATGCACTTCTTTCCATTTACCAAAATACCTTCATTCTTCATCCCAAAGCCATAAATTATCCAAAAACATCGATTTAAATATGTAAATTGGAGGGAGAAAAACATAGTTCCCAGAAGGACAGTTTGTAAATTTTACTAGGCTTTCTCACTTCCGCCTTTCCTTAGACTTCCCAAGCAATAGCACGTATCGGAAGCGAAAGGCAGGAACTAGATTAGGGTGGACCATTAGGTTGGGACACTCCGAAAACATTTCTCAGCAAGTGATTCGACTCCATTTGGAAACAAGCACGTTAAACTGTATATTGATCTTAGTTACACGACCACATCAGCTATGCTGTAAAATTACCTTGCTAAAATAAATGCTTTTATTTTTATTATTATCTTTAAAAAATATGCGAATGAAAGCTCCTAGCTCACATGACACATGAAAGGGTCGCTTTGCGTGGATAATATGCAATATCTTAATTTTTTAGAAAGCCAAGGGAAAGTAATGTACAACATCACAGAGAAAGATTGTTATGGGGAAAAGAGTAAGTTAATTTGTACAGTTTTTGTTTCTATCCTTTTTAAGGACCTCAATTCTAGGATGAAGGGTCCTTTAATTTGATTAATTATAAAATAGCGATGTATTGATAAATTCTTTAGCATCGAGGGATGACTAGGTTGTATTCCGTTTTCATTTGCAGTTGAAAGAGAATGTCCGAAGTGTCTATCTGTCGATGATTTTGAAGATTTCTTTGACAAAAATATAAACTGTTCCATTTATCGTAAGTATATGCTAGAATACGATTCGTACCCGACAAATCACAGCGTGTAAACGTACCTTAAACATATACCCACCCTGGTCAAAAAGTTTACAAAAGGATAACGTTCAGTTATCACACATGTCCTTTACCACTTCTGTGACATGAGTTTGATAACTGCTTGGGCAATTTTCTTCAGTCCAAATTTCCATGTTGTCTGCACATGTACTTTCTTTGAAGACACCATTTGCCTCCTGGCAAATCGGAAAATGATCAAGATAGTGACTCTAATTGGTTTACATTTTGCATTGACATATGATTGTTGACATTGCTTTTTACTCTTCAATATTTGAGTAAGTCATGCTTTGGAAATGACAACAATTGTTTTATTATCATGTTTTATTATCAACTCTTGACTTTTATTTTTCATTTACCCAACCTTTTACTATCATTCAAAATTTTGTTTACTCAACCCTTTTCTCTTCGGTACCACCCCCCCCCCCCCATAAACAATAGCCACCCGGTTCCTTAGAAGAAAACAAAATAACAACATAATAAGACATCCATTTTATGTATTTTAGTGATGCGTGCAAAATCCCGCAATGGCCTCATGAAAGTGAAAAAAGCCTATATCAAAACGGACAGAACTCAAGATAAGAAATCTCGTCCTTATGAAATACCCGAATTTTGTCCTTGTGACGAAGTCTATGATGGCGTGACGTCATTGGTGTTAGGACAAAGCGATTATTTCCGAAGGAACGGCGAAGATGCATCAATTGTGTTCAACTCTGCCACAACGATTGCCAAGTGGGACTCTACGAAAATGAGAAAGATATTTAAGAAGAAGATGATCTCGAAGATTTATCGTAGATGCAATCGGTTGAATAGTGGCTTGCGAGGTTGAGGATTGTGCGTGCGGTGCTTTTTTATTTTTTTCTTATCAAAATCTTTAGTTATACGTGTTTAGCTTTAATTTTATACCCAAATATATACAATTAATGGATGTTATTTCTGTAAGTGCTCGCAGACCTTGTGTCTATCGTAGTTCATTTAATTAACTGACATAATTATAACTTGATTTAGTATAATTCACATCTAAGATAATGCCAAATAAAAAAACTTCTAAAAAAGCTGTCGATGGGGATTTGTTTCAATGAATGAGCTGCTTTTAGTTTGTTATGTTGTTTTTATCGTTACACTGTGTGTGTACAATATATTTTTCCACGATATGTGAAAAGCCCGCTTTTCCGCGTCCGTTAAACTGCGTCCGCTATTCCGCGATCCGCAACTTCTGGGAAAATTTCACGAAGAACGACGTGCGAATCCGATAGAGTACGAAGCCGATTCGGATGATACGTCACGTCAGTTTGGAAGATGGAAACTAGTGCTTGCAATGCTGATGTGTTTATATGATTCAAGATGGCCGAGAAATCAGAGAGAAACAAATATGTTCATTTTTTCTTCAATTTTGCCCTCAATATGTTTGGCTGCGAGAATTATTAGGTGGTGAGGAAAATGTCACGGCATAGGAATGTGCGAAATTATGCTTACGAAGAAGGTACGTGCTATATTAAAAAGTACACTGTGTATTAAAAATATAAAAACTAACTCATCATAAGGTATCCTGCAGTGAGTGCACCGGTCTGTGTTGGGGCAGTCTTAAAGACAGCACAGCAGACTTCAGTAGCCAATGTTATGTTTGAATACTTCATATATATTTGTCCGTGACTTGATATTAATGTATAAACACTATTTCTCTGCCACAACGATGTTATTCGTTTTGTCAACAAACCAAAATGATAATTACGATACTAAGTAAAATAGTAAATTTGATTTGTTTTCAAGCAAACCTCGGTAGTCGAGTGGTTAAGCAGGGGCGGGGGGCAAGGGGGCTGCAACTCCCCTCCAGAAAAATTGAAGTTGGGCAAATTCTAAATGCAAGTTGGGCAAAAAGATGGGGATTTAAAAAGTTCAAGAATTTCGGAAATTTTACACAGAATAATTTTTTTGAAAATCGGGCAAAATCAAAAAAGGTTGTGCAAATTTGAATCAATCCCACCTCCTCCCAAATAGGTGGGCTGATCGATGGTAGGATTAGGGTATGGGCAAGGTTTGGTGCAAGCAACCACTGTTTTATATGACCACTGACCATTTGAGTGTTCAAACCAATCAATTGATGGACAAATAGTCACAGCTTATTGGTTTCTGTGACTGGACAAATGGATCATTCCAGAAACATCCACACCTCCCCCATGTGGAAATTGCAAGTTTATCCCCACCCTAGCCCTTTCGGACATCCTGGTAATTATCGCAAGCCCCCAGCACACCGCACTAGCAGGGAAAGTATGGACCTTTTCTGGAATGACCCAATAACAAATTCGAAAATAAAAATCTCAGGTGAGGTGGAAAATATCTCGGGTGAAATTTGTATCATCCCACTCCTCCCCTCAAAATCTGGCTGTGTCACTGTGTTATCCATTGTTACCCATGGCGACACAGTGTCATGTGTGCTGCAGATAAAGATCTATTTTCATATTTCAGATATGTATGAAGATGTGTACGGTCATTCTGTGGAAGAACATGACCTGTGTGTCTCACCAACAACAGGTACTTGTAAACCACATTGAAACATATATAATTTATTAAGCAACATCCTGCTAGTTTTCAGGCAGTGCCACCCCACCCCCTAACGATGGCCCCAATGTTTTGATTGCAAGTCTACCACCATTCACAAGTAGCATGTTTCTATATTTTTTTTGGTGATTTTGTAGTCATGATGCCAATTTGCTCACCATTAAGTTGTCGACTGTTGAATCTTCAATAATTTGTGATTGTAACAGTCGTACATATTATTAATACCTTCAGTATTTGGATGGGTGAGGGTTTTGGTAACCAAAAATCTTTGTTTGTATAATCTTACTAGCCCAACAGTTCTTGTATCGACGAGGCGAGACCCAACACCCGAATTTATCATCTTTCATGGAGGAGCCCCAGGATTATGAGGAAGAGGAATACGAGGATGAAAGGGAGTGTCTAGGAGCACAAAAGGACTATAAGCCCCCAAAGCTGGATAGAGAAAGTCAAGGTAATTTTCCAAAGCATTGTGTAGATTTTGAAGTCATGTCAGGATACTGAAGATAATGAGCATGCAGTATGTAATCTCAAATGGTTTGTGCCAGACGAGTGTAGGTACTTGCCAATAATAAGGAAGGATTGGTAGGGATGCAAGAATTCAGTGTTCATTGAAGCCTTGGCTTTGCTTGAAACTTTGAAGTTCTTGTATTTTTCAGGTACGGTAGTTGTATCCCTATCAATACACCAAAATACCATGTTTCACCATTCTTGTAAACACTCCATGGTATTTAACAAAGATACTACTATAGAGTACATGAAATGTGCAGTGATTATGCTAGGCTGCTAACCAATCACAAAAAGCCAGTCAACTACCCATCCCTCCCTTCCTTGCATCATTTACTATGCCAAAGGAAATCTTCTAATTTTCTACGAGCTATATTTTGCAATATGAGAGATTGTACAGTATCGTCAGTATGTGAAGCCAGGTGTACATGTTAGCTTTTATAAGTAAAAAAGTTCTGAAGAGAAGAAAATAGGGGATAAAACAATTATGAACAATATTATAGTTGCATCGCTACCAACGAAATCTTGTTAATTTTATTGGCACTACCTACACTCAGTCTGACAAAGTCAGTTCAAGAATAGAACAATTAGCCTTTCTCACGAAGGCCAAAATCTGCCATTTTTGGGGTACTGCCTGCCCTCGTGAAAGATTCTAGACAATTCAAACATTGTGAAAAGCAACTTTTAAAAGTTGTAACTGTAAATTTTGCATTATACAAACAACTATAATACCAGTACTAAAAAGTTGTTGACTCTCAAACGTGAGAGAGTCAGTACCCCCAAAATTGCCGGAAAAATCGGCCGTGAGAAAGCTTAACTGGATTATATTTTCTTGAAATATTTTTAACGTAATGCTTTGGAATTATCTAGCGAAGCTGTTATCTTGTATGGATCAATTTCGATCGATACTTGGTGACCATTGTGATGAAGAGGGAGCGACTGCCGCCATTTTGAAACACGATTTTGACTTAGAAAAGGCAATTGATTATGTATTAAGCGAAGGTAAACCTAAACAGTAGTATGTACAGTCGATTTATACTCTTGAGTTCCTTTCTTAAAAGTATACTTGTATTGTCGAGGAACACAGGAAGTGTATCAGAGTTATTATCAGCTTACAAACGATAAAGTCTGAACACATCAGACATGTAAAACACGGAAAGGATGTTGTAAAACCTGTCTGGACCAATTACCATATCATAGCTGGACCAGTGACCATATCATAGCTGGACCAATGACCGTATCATAGCTAGACCAATGACCATATCATAGCTGGACCAATGACCATATCATAGCTAGACCAATGACCATATCATAGCTAGACCAATGACCATATCATAGCTGGACCAATGACCATATCATAGCTGGACCAATGACCATATCATAGCTGGACCAATGACCGTATCATAGCTAGACAAATGACCATATCATAGCTGGACCAATGACCATATCATAGCTAGACCAATGACCATATCAGTGGTCGACCGGGGGCATGATTTTGGCCGGGGCCGGGGATGCATGATTTTGGCCGGGGCCGGGGCCGGGGACTGGTCGAACACAATCTCGTACCCAGAGCAAGGCCTGTGCACGGGCTAGGATGGCATTGGCTCTGGGGAAATTGACAACCAGAACCCCTAAATTTAGGGGTTCCGGTTCTTTGTCGGCATGCACGATTCATAAACGTTAAACCAATCACAGCACAAGAAAAATTCAATTTCCCCAAAGCCAATGCCATCCTAGCCCGCGCACAGGCATTGCTCTGAGTACGAGATTGGGTCGAACATTGATATTATGTGATGTTGCGCGATGTTATTTAAGCGGGATTTGGAAAGGCCAGTGGAATTTACTGGACAGCGGTTTATTGCTATCGTCAGCCATATTGGAAACATTTTACGAGAATAAATGGTAGTGATGGGCGATACCAGCTTTTTTGGTTTCGATACAATACCAGTCCGATACCATGAATTTTGGTCGATACCGATAGCAAAATCGATACCGATACTCAATTTTTTCCATTTATTAAAATAACTTTTAAAACACGAACATTAATGTTTAAAACAAGTCAAAGAATACTCTAACTGGAGTACCTGCCAAATAATCGAACATAACATTTGCAATTATGATTTTAAATCAAAACAACGTTTTCCTCAAATATATTGCTAATTAGCTACATGTTTTTGTTTAAGAACAGCATCATGTCAACATTTTTTGCCTTCAGGGGCCTTCTGTCTGTTGCCTTCATGAAGCATTAAGTGATTGGTCAGGAATACTGACCAAAAACATCGCAGGCTCAAGTGGTATCGAATTACCGATACTTTTTGCGAGTATCAAAAGTATCGATACTTTTGTAAGTATCGATGATTTCGATACTTTTTCGATAGTATTGCCCATCACTAATAAATGGTACGTATCTTTTCTGTTCGTTGCTTTCGATATAATTTTGTCGATTTTTTTAAACTGTTTTAAACTTTTACTACGTTTTTACTACGTTTTTACTAGTTTTTAGTTTTGCTAAGGTTCCCTGAATCTTGACAATTATAAGATAATAATAGAAAGAATTTGACAAATTTGAGCTTGAAATCCCCGGCCAAATTTCCAGAATTTTGGCCGGGGCCGGGCCGGGGCCGGGGGTGCCAATTTTGGCCGGGGCCGGGGCCCCGGTCGAGCCCTGCATATCATAGCTAGACCAGTGACCATATCATAGCTGGACCAATGACCGTATCATAGCTAGACCAATGACCATAGATCATAGACCAAGGCTTGTAATAAATAAATAAATAAATAAATACTTACAACCAGAAAATGTTTCCTAAATAAAACTAAATTAAATACTTGTAGTTTGCCTTGACAAATTATCGGTCTCTTTGCCAGTATTTTATACATGGACAAATCATCAGATGAATTAGTTTTCATTGCCCAAGTTTATCCAACGGATCTATCAGATATACAGTACTGTATGCAAGAAGTGTGGTATCGGCAAAAGCACTGAAATCATGAATCTTTTCCAGGTGGAAATCAGGATTTAAAGAGCCATAATGTGTCCAGAAAGGAAAAAGGTAAATAAATACACTTAGTCGATTGAGTACATTTAAATGAAAAAGGTGACTAGTCTTCGCTATGACTCAAGTAAAAGTGATTGAAATAGCATTGGCACCATTAGGTATAATGGGTTTAAGTCCATAGGTAATGTGTTTAAGTTCAAGATAGCGTTAATTCTACTGTATTTTATCGTAACGCCATCGCATTATTATTATACAGACAATCCAATACTAACTTTGTGCCTTTTTTCTTTTTTTCCTATGACTTCCTTCACTCTCTGTGCCATGGCAATATTAAGGTAAGATGTCCTAAAAATTGAAAATATTAGCAAGTTGCACTCTGAACGCAGTTCAGGATGTTTCCAACCAAATAAAGTCCTGGCTGACAGCCAGGGTACTAGTTTTAATAAACCGTTGCAAACTTCGAATGAATCGAAAAAGCTTAGCTCGCCTGGTGCTTTTTTACCGTCTGGTAGAGTGGATGAAGGATGCGGAACACAATGTTTGTCAACTTTACCAAGTAGAAAAAATCCAGAGGTTTTACTATCAGAAGGGCGGATGAATGACGAAGAGTCTGGCGATAATCAGCATACAAGAGACCAACCCTTGCCTATTATGAACACCGGATTTAAAGGGTCTTCGCCGTTAGCTCGATTGTTAGAAACCCGAAAATCTGAAGGAAGACGAAAAGTAGGAGATGGACACGTTTTGTCACAATTCCCAATCAACAACGCTACTGGGCAATCTCGTGACAGCTCCTCTACTACAACTAAAACAGTCAGTGAGAGCTCTTCTAATCAACTTTTAGAAAGAGGAAAATCTGTGACATTCAAAAATGCAGAAGCATCTTTCATTGGAAAAGATGCTCCAAACAATAGTACTACATGTAACTTACCAAAAAGTGAGGATCGTAATAAGTTGCCATTGAGTCAACTGTTAAAAACACGACCAGATAATCGAAGCAAAAATGCAGAAATATCTCACGTCCTTAATAGGAAACCAGAAAGTGAAAGTTCTTCCGTATCACCTTTGCGCGGACATCCTGTTTCAAAGGAAAAGCAGTCGGATGGTAATGTCACGTTGTCAACTTCAGGCTTACTACAAAACAAGGGTTTGACATCGGGTCAGCTATCAGAAACAAAACAATCACCTAGAAATGAAACAAAGTTTAAATCATTGAGCGAGTTCATTGAAGAACCAGAGTCCTGCAGAAGTCAAGATTCTCAACTGCCATCTCTTATGAGTACACTAAATATTCAGGACAGCAGTAAATCACCTTTGAGCTTGTTGTTCGGCACAAAACAAGCGTCTGAAAACAAAACGCAAGTTTCAACAAAAACTTCACCATCAGATGGCCAATCGAACGCAGAGAAGTTTAATTTATCACCGCTTAGTCAGCTATCAAAAGAAAAGCGGCCGTTGGTTAACAAAGGGTCTGGGACTCTATTGTTCAACAAGCTGACAACAGGGGAAGCAGAAAGCTCGCAAGGAATATCCCTAGTACACATACCAAAAAATGATGGGTCTTCATCTTTGAGTCAGCTGCTTAAAACAAGGCAATCGCCCAAAAACGTGGATTATGGTAGAAAAGAATGTTTGGATAACAATTCAAATGTGAATATCGGTAAAGATGACTCATCTGACAGGGCGATGTTTCATCCTGGGGAGTCTACGTTGTCCAAACAGTTCCCGCCAGATCGTCAGAATACCAATGTTCTTGGAATCAGCCCCGGTACTTGTTGGGCGTCTGATGTGACCAAAGATATCGACTTATCTACTCTGCTAACGCACAAAAAATCCCATGAGAAAACAAAAAAATTAGGAGAACATACAGATCTGTTACCAATTGATGGGAGTTCTCGAATATCGTCGAATGATGTCGAAGATGGCTTCCGAACCAAGCCGATTGAAGTCGATGAAAACCTTCATTCTCGCGATTCAGTCCTAGAACTTCTTCACGCTCCAAGCACGTTTGCTTGCACCTTACTTGTGTACTACAAGAAACCTGGGCAGGAATGGAAGCCCACTGTGAAAGGATTGTTTCAGAATGTTGTGGGGATAGTTCCATTTAATTTCAGCACACCCTCGCCTGACGATGATGTAACAAGCAAACAGAAAAAAGCACATTTGAAAAGAAAGTAACATCGAGGTTCGAGTCTAGCACGATCGGAAATTGCGGCCCCAAATTGATATCTAAGATGAGTCAGCTCATGTTCACTAAGCATGCTGCATCTCATATGCTGAATATTAATGAGGCGAACTACTGGATTGTTTCAAGAGTCGGCAAAGTTTTTGATGCATTGTTAGAAATTTGAGGTTAAGAAAAAGCCAAAGGCCCATAAACAATACTTGCAATGAGTGCTATAATAATACATAACATACTAATACATGGCCATTTTTTTGTGCGATTTCCGGTCGTGCAGTAACTTTCGTCCTCGCGTGTGTTTGAAATGTGCTATGTGATTTTACCAGAGTTCATGGCAAACTGTTTCTCGATTAAGGGGGATGTCATGACATAGATTCCTGAAAATATTTTTACTGTAAATATTATGATTATTTTCATCACTATTATCGTAAGTTGGCGAAACACTGGATTAATTTATAAGGTAAAAAATGGGATCCAACTAGTTCAATAATTTATTTCACATTTCTGATAATCAAAATTGCTTTTTTGGAAGTAGTTTAAACATCTTTAGCACGAAAAATTGGCTAGGAAAATGTTCATACATTATCTAGAAAAGCATTATACTTACTCCTGTGCAAATGTTGGGATGGTCTTCCAATTGACCTTTTTAGTAAAACAAATAAATAAGTTCAGAGCTATGCTTGAGGGTACATAGAAGTTTTCATGTGTATATTTAATATTTATAGTATTCCTGTAATTAGTAGTAATAGTTTGTATGTGGTTTTGTAGATTTTCTTTTGTAAATTTTGTTTATAACTGATGGAACTACATGTACAGTACAAGTTGTAAAATATTTTTAAGTAATAATTACAATAAATAAGAATAACTGACGACGCAGTTGCAAGGTTTGAAATTGGAAAAAAAATATGGCAGGGCCGTAGGTTCAATTCCTACCAGAGGACCTTGTGCTGCATTTTTCGCAGTCGTTCCTGGTTAGGTCTTAAAATGTATATATTCTCACTTGGATTACAAACCCTAACATCCTAATATTAATTCCACCAAATGAAGTGCAAGAATCTAAGTTGATAGGTGGACTGTATGTGGAGCAGGTGTGTATATAGTTACCAATGGGGTACCCCCCCCCCCCCACCAAAGTTGAGAGGGTCACTTTCGTCCCCTATCCAAGAGCGGTCTGCAGAAAAAAATGAATACCTGAAGACTGATACCCTTTGACCGATGGCGACGCCGAGGCTAATTTGTATAATCATGCTATTGGTTCCTGCTCAGCTACGAAGCAGAGATTCCTTTGTTTGTAAATTGCACCTCAACAGCGTTACATTTTAGATTCAAGGCGGTGTAATACTCCCAAGAAAAATGAATTATCTCCGGTTAACGATCGAACACCTCAAGCCAATAAATCGTCGCCTGTGATGGGTCGTGATACATTGGATTCGAACTCGTCTGGATCCAGGTATGCATATACATATATACAAATATTCAGTTCAGTTCACTCTCCAACGGGGCTTTTCAGTGACCGATTACATCAAGTATTACGCTTGTATTACCTACATAGCCTAGACTAATTATCTTTACAACAATTGTGATATTATGCTTGTGATGTTACTCTGAGTGTGTATCCACACCGGGCAAGTTTGGAAAATATGCCTGGCCACGGTGGGAATCGAACCTACGACCTTTGGAATACTAGCACATTTCGATTCCCACCCTGGTCAGGCATATTTTTCAAGCTTGCCCGGTGTGGATATACACTCAGAGTAACATCACAAGCATCATATTCACCTGAGTAAATTACACCAACACAGGAAAAATCATGATTATTATTAGATAACATTGATATCGAAGGAACTAGATTCTGTTCCGAAATATCACATACTCGAACCGACCAGACCGCGTAGCTCAGTAATAGATGTAAACGAGTAGATGGGTTTTGAATGTTCTGAGTATGTATACCCTCATCTGAATACTCATAACTCACTCGTTCACATCCATCAGAAGGAAACGCACCTAAAAATCGCAGCAAAAATTACAAGTCTTATAGCTGGAAAATAGTCGAATCCCTTTCATCTCTTTAGAATTGTTGCTATCTGCATAAATTAATAGACCCTTTGCACTGACGTCACAAATCCTTTGAGTGTCCTCCAGATGCTCCCTAACAGTATCTGTTCGGGTACAACAACCACATACAGCACAGAAATGAAAAGGTCATAGGTTCGATTCCCACCAGGCATATTTTTCAAGCTTTCCCGGTGTGGATATACACTTAGAGTAACATCACAGGCATCATATTCACCTGAGTACATTACACCAACACAGAAAAAATCATGAGGATTGAACAATGCTTTGCTGCCCACATTGTTCACAGTTGTCAACAATATTGAACAATATTGTTACACCCGATTCAGGCTCAACAATATTGTTCAATATTGTTGACAAGTGTGAACAAAGTGGGCAGCAAAACATTGTTCAATCCTGTTTAGCGGCGTTTTTTGACGTGTATGGATCGAAAGCTTACAAAGGGTCAGCATTTGACCAGCATTCACAATTTCCAGGAAAATCTTTCCCTGTGTTTTTTTGGTGATGTACATTGTGTATGTTGATTTTATGCTTGTGTAGGTTGGATGGTCCAAAGAACGCTACGATAACATTGTCACGAAATTGATCTGGCAGAGCATTGGGCTAGTATTCCAAAGGTCGTAGGTTCGATTCCCAC